CTGATCTTGTCACTGTATTTCTGTTAGTTCCTTTTGTCTGTTTCAGACTTGTTATGTGTTTTGTTATTTATTCTGCTCTTTCTGCCTTCACCTGTTTGTAATCAGTAATTACTCTTTTATTTAKTTTTTATTTTTATTTTTTGAGGAGTATATTGTTGACTCTTAAGCTTTAATAGTTTTCCACCAGGTTGTCTTTGCAATTAATGTCAAACTTTCCAGCAACTTGTTTGATTGTTAGTTTGGTTTCGACAGCTTAGCCAGTTGTGTTTATGTCATTATGAAGGAGGATGTCTTCATACTGGGCAAGGTTCTTTTATTTCAAAGTCAAATAATTGGATTTTTAAGATATAATAAAATAAGAAATAACTGTAATAATAAAAACATTATATCTCAAACTCATTGTGGTTTAAAAATGCATTAATAAACATTCCTAATCTTTGTTTACAATTAAATTCACAATTAGCAGACAGCATATCAATGACAGTTTGATAAAAGCATTTTGCTATTTTAACATTCTCAATAAAGTATTTTTATATCCCCTTCACTGTGCGGCAGGTGTGTCACACTGAAAATTATAGAAACTTCAGATTTTTTTTTAGTTAATCAACAGGATTTACAAACGTGTACATACGCACTTGGCAAGATTTTTACATTAGGGTATATTTTTTGTTTAGTTTGTGAAAATTGCACAACTGTTAGTAGAAATACTAATTTCTGGGGAGAATGTCTTCAGTGGGTTTTAAACCCTTTCAAATGTGTATTGTAATATTTCTTCTCTGCAGCATGAAGACATGCTCCGACCTGCTGGATTTGCTTAGTTGGAATAACTGGTTGGAAAGTTTTGCATGAATCGGCTGGGATCCAGGCTGTATAAATCAGAGCCTCTGGTAAAGCTCCAGCTTGGAGTATTTCACTAACACTGCACAGAGCTGAGCTCTGGGGGCAGTTTGAACACAAGTGGGATGGATAACTGAGCCATGTGATGACGTAGTTTTATTCCAAAGGGAGCATCAGTTCAGTGCAATTAAGTTTTACATCATATTGGTGGCGGCACGGTGGCTCAGTTGGTAGAGCTGATGCCTCTCAGCAAGAAGGTCACTGGTTCAAATCCCAGTCCGGGGACCTTTCTGGGTAGAGTTTGCATGTTCTCTCCGTGCATGCGTGGGTTCTCTCCGGGTACTCCGGCTTCCTCCCACAAACCAAAAACATGACTGTTAGGTTAATTGATAACTCTAAATTGTCCCTAGGTGTGAGTGAGAGAGTGAATGGTTGTTTCTCTCGTTTGTCTCTGTGTGTGGCCCTGTGATGGACTTGCGACCTGTCCAGGGTGTACCCCGCCCCTCGCACTGTGACTGCTGGATATGGGCACCAGTGACCCACGCGACCCTGAAAAGGAAGAAGCGTGTACAGAAAATGGATGGATGGATGGATGGATCATATTGGTCATAATCATCACCTATCGCCACGAAAGCCTGGAGATCATGGGAGTACGTGTGTTTGTCAGTTAGCAAAGAAAATCTCATCAACCTCAGGATGGATTTCTATTAAAAATTCAGAAATCATTCTAACAATGTCCATCTACAACTGATTAACTTTTGGTGTCAAGCTAATTCAAGAAGACTGCCACAGCTAATCAACCTTAAACACAAAAATGGTCATAGCTCAATTTTACAGATATTGGGCCTCATGCAAGAACCGTTCGTACGAACAGATTTGTTCTTAAGTTGTGCGTACAAATGATTTAGGAGAACTTGTTGCATTCACCTTTTTTTCATTTAACAGTGCCTGCAGCCCAAAGCAGGACAGGGAAAAGTGGATAACTTATTTCTAGCAACAGAACAGTTGAAGTACTGGTTGGAAGGTGGTTATTTAACTTAATTTATTGATTTTTATGTCACCTGTGGGTCATAGATTCACTAACTGTAGCAACCCACAGGAGACACGGCATTAACAAAAACTGCAGCTGTTATCTCTTCCCATTCCTTGGCTGCTAAAAAAGACAGATTTTCTTTTCTGGATCTCTGAGAGCAGGACTTCAATCTCAGAATGTGTGAAGTTCTTTCTTTTTACTTCTCGCAGCCATTTTCATGAACGAAAATTTCCTGGTATGTGGGGCAGGAAGCATGGCCTTATATGGTATCAGTGGGGTGGTAATTATGCTTATTTCCTCTCCTCGTTCACAAGCACCTGGATACAAACAGGTGACATTCATCATGTTTACTCTGCTCACTTACACACTTTTCCTGAAGTTAGAAGCATTTGGCTGAACCTGACGTGGCGTGTTCATACGAACCTTTCATACAAAAAAAAAAGTAAAAGAAATTTAGGATAAGAATGTGAAAATGTTCTTGCATGAGGCCCACTGAGCTTAGATTTAGTGTGGTAGTAGCTGAGGTTGGTTCCCAAAACATTCTCTGAGCACCAACAAATCAACAGAGATCTTTGTTTAAAACTTTCACAGGACATATTTTTACAAAACGTCCTGAACGTAATCACTGGACATACATTTTCAACTGAATAACCTCTAGAGTCAGCCCAATGCAACATGGCCATCACAGCTAATATAACATTAGCAACACAATAATGACTAACTAATTTAGCAGATGTTGAGCTAAAACTGGATGTGGTAGCAGAGAGTAATCCTCATCACATACGTTGAGCACAGATACTCTAACACAAGGTCTTTCTTTGAAAGATTTATTTCAGTAGAATACTACTTTGATCTAGCATTAAAATAGAGTTGTAGGCAAACTGACACATAAGGAGCCTTAAAATACTGGAATTTAGTGAACATTTAATATCTGAAGACAAAATATTACTAAATATTAGCAAAAAGCTACCAAAGCTTAGTCCAGATGGAGTGAATATTGAACTAGAAGTATTTTAAATGAAGAAATTAAACATTTAAGGTGGTCGTTTCACATCATGTCAGAAAAAAACCTGTGATGAAACCAGAACAGCTCAAAAACAGGCACCAATCATGGCTACCGTTTAAAATACAAAATACTTTTCTTTGTACTGCTTCTTTTCTCCCACCTCGACCAGTTCAACCTTCTTCTGTCAAAGGCCTATTTTATCACTAAACTGTGCTTCCAGTCACAGCGTGATGCATATTCCACATGTATTTATCTGCAAACTTGCTATGCATTCCTGAGAGGAGAGCAAAGCCCCGCATGACCAGATGTGAACATTAGCACTTCATAAAAATGATTAGATTATGTTTACAGAGTACCTGCTCTATTCAAATGGGTGGTCAAGATTAGAAAATTAGTCGGGGAAGGGGGTAAAAGAGAAAACAAATTTATCTATAATAACAACCTGCAAAATAAAAAATTTAATAATTTTTTCTATAAAAACTCATATGTTTCATTTTTGTCATCTGGACCCGTGAGTCTCTTTTAGCCTCAATCAGCAACAAAAGTTCAACCTAACCCATTAGAAGGAGCAATGTGACGTGTTCTGTAGCAGTGGAAACGCGATTAGCAGCAAATTCAAAGATTAGAGGGCTCTTTCACTTGATACAATCTTAATGTTGCAGAGATTTTAGGTGGATTACATTGCCTGAGAAACACAGGGTTTATAGAGTGAAGTCATGGGTAAGATTAGATGAAAATAAGCTCCTTTAACATATCTTTGAGAGTTAAACCCTGATCATACGAATGCTAAATAACACTAAAGACAAAGTCAGTTCTAAGTAGGCCAACAGAGTAGTATCTTGCTGTGCAGCAAGCTTCATTGACCTTCACTTCCTCTTGTGTTGTGCTGCCCTCTCCTGTTCACAGCCATCACTTCATCAGCAGTATTCTGCAGAATAAACATTTGCTCCTGAACTGAAATAAAAAAATGGGGGATTTGCGAAATTAGTTAGTCAAAAGTTGATGACCTTGTTTAGCAGTTCTGCAACAAATACTGTAACATAATTGTTCAAAAAATGCAATAGGGAATAGAGAAAAATGAACGTATTTAAAAACAGGACCCAAACAAAATATAACAGTATTTACTTGTTTAGCTACTCGAACATAAGAGGATTCCCGAGGGATGGTACTCAAGTGACCAAATCCAACGATCATATAAAACACTGAGTTCATTGAAATGACTGGCTTTCTTGTACGGAGTCCCGTGACAGAAACACAGACTATAGCAGCTTCAGTTGATCTGTTTACTGAACTTTAGCACAAGATATAAGCTAGTGTGATGTCTGACCATATTTTTATAATAAATTAATAGTAGATATCTAAAAGCTGCTACAAATATATTATCAAACTATTTAAAGTTAGGGCTGGACAATTAATCGGATTTCGATCTTGATTACGATTTGGGTTTTCAACGATCATTAAAAACATAATGATCGAAGTTCGCAGTTTACGCTTACACTGTTTTGTGTTGTGAATCCAGTGCCACTGCCAGCACTATGCTGCAGGCTCCTCACACAGCTAAAGTTACACTTTGTCAATTTTTTTCAAAAATATTTGAAATCTTGAGGGAAACGTTGTTTAACTGCCATTGTTTATGTTCAATAAATTCATGTTATCAAAGTGAATGAATAATTTTGTTTAATAATCTAGATCTCAATTTCAATCAAAAAAAATTGTGATTATAATTTTTGCAATAATCGAGCAGCCCTATTTAAAGGCACATTTGGCTTAACAATTGAAAGCGTGAAATAAGAAATATGAAGCATAAAATAAATACAAACCATATGGAGTTTTTTAAAATTGAAATATTTGGAGAAAAAATTTAAAATATGTCGCCTTGCTTACAGTATCACAATACATCTGTGTCATAAAATGTATTGTATCACAAATTCTTATCAATTTACAGCCCTAATATCTATGCAGCACCGGGAGAGACTAAATTCAGCAGAACTTTCAACACCAAGTACACAACAAAAGGTATTTAAGGGCTAAAAAAAAGGATTTTGCATGATAAGACCTTTAAGACCTTTAAGAGTCCTTCTCAGATATGTAAACAAACTACAAAATGGTCTATCTATGACTTACCTCACACTTTCCTGCCACACAGAGGAACGTGTCGTTCAGTCCACATGGAGTCCCGTCAATCACCCGGTCTGACTGCCGCACGTAGAATCTGAACCCTACAGCCCGGCAGTTCAGCTCACAATGCTGCTCCTCGGGAACTGAAGACAATGCAACATGATACGATCAGATATATGATGTGAAATATGACAATTTTATATACGACACAATATATGTAAGCCTCCCTTGAAAAACAGTTCTACAATCTCAATGGGATTTGCCTGGTTAAACAACGGTGAAATAAAAAATAAAGAAGACATACATACGATGTGATGCAATATAATAAACCAATGACAACGTAATACACCAATAAAAACATACAGAAGATTATTACTTAATTTTGCAGTTTGTTTAACAAGCAAATAAATCATGCTGTGTTCTTACTTTTTCACAATTTCGTCAGCATTTTAGTTCAACTGTTTAATAAATAATGAGACACCAAGATGACTCAAGTGTCAGTCATTAGTGGTTTTTATTTTGGAATAAAACCTGGTAGGGAACATTGGGCCTCATGCAAGAACCGTTCGTACGCACAGATTTGTTCTTAAGTTGTGCGTACGAGTGATTTAGGAGAATTTGTGGCATTCACCAATGTTTTCATATTCTAAGATTTTTTTCAGATACGAACAAAATTCACGAGTGGTCCAGACCTGTCGTATATTTTACGAGCAGTCGGTCTGCTGTTATCCAGACAAATTTTTTTTATTAATAACTTTATATTTCATTAGTTAGAAGATATTTTGAGTTGAATCACACTTCATAACTATGTTGACAATAGGTTAATCTGTTTGAATTAGAATTAGAATTTTAAATGTAATAATGTAGTCTAACGACATAAATTGGCTATTAATTTTGTTGTATAGCACTACAATATTAATATGAAGTTAATTGAAGTTTGGAGACATTTTAAAAAAAAATTCCGAAACACATCTGACACTTGATGGTCAGGGGGGGAATAAATGAATAAGTGAAACCTATGTAACACAGTTGTTTACACTGAAATTAAAAGTATTTGACCAAAGAAAAGCCGGAGCAGGACAACAGAGAGAGATAAATATGATTTAGAATTTTATTTCTGTGACTGTACGACCCACGGGAGACACGACATTGACAGCAGTTGTCATTTCATTCCTCGACTTTAAAGCAGATCCTTWAATTCCACAGCTGACGCTGCTAAAAATGACTTTTTTTGTGGATCTCCGAGAGCAGAACTTCAATCTCCGAACTCGTAAAGTTCTTCTTTTTTACTTTGCAATGTCACTTATGAACGGACACTTCCATGTGTGGCAGGATATGTATATTCTTATATGGTGTTTTTTAGGGAGGTAATTATGTAAATAACCTCTCCCAATGCTCGAGCACCTGGATACATCTGTTTACGCTCCTCATTTACAAACTTTTCCTGAAGATAGAAGAGTTTGTTAAATCTGACGTGRCATGTTCGTACGAACCCTTCGTACGAACAAAAGTAAGAGAAATTTAGGATAAGAATACGAACATGTTCTTGCACGAGGCCCATTGTTTTTATCCTACTGATATGAAATTTGAGCATAACAAATAAAACATGTACCAAACTATCCAGCCTACCTTCATTAAAAGGTTCCCACTTGTACAGTCTGCCCATGAAAGGCTGGTTGTTGTAAGAAGAACACTGGATGGCTCTGATGTGTTTGCTCGACAGAGGACAGGCCTGTGGATGGATCAGATAAACACAAACATGCATTTATTTTCCATGAAGACAGACCTCACCGGGTTCAACCTTCAGAGCCTGCTCTCAGTATTGTGCTCTGCAAGCAGCAATTCATGGCAATAGTCAACAAATTTTGGTCCAGGATCCTGGACCAAAAACACGTTGCTGTTTGTCAGGTTGAGTTTTAAATTGTAAAGCTGCTGTTTGACGGTGCTTTTACGAGGCCATCTCACTGCACTCAAAAGGACAGACTATGAAACTGCTGAATAAAAGGTAAAGAACATAAATAAAAGTTTTCCTAAATTCACTATCATGATGCAGTTCATCTGATTTATCAGTAAGTTAAAATAAACATTGTATTAGACCCTACGCAGTTGTTAAAATACAACTTAGTAGCCAAAGTACAGTGAGAATAAGGAGAAAGTGCAGACTTGCATACGTTACTGTTGCAGATCCTGTACTGAGCATGCTCCCCTGTGCAGAGAGTAGGCAGCAGTGGACTGTACGGTGTGTCTTTATGCTGCTGATGGCCTGATTGTAGCTCCTGCTGAACCTCAGCCTTACGTGAAGTAGGCTGATAAAGTGGGGACCAGACTGGGTTGTTCTTGGGACTTTGTGCCCTGGGGTGCACATAGGGTCGGTTGAAACGACGGATGTTGTTGGAGGCATCCAGATGGATTGATCTAAAGGTACTGTGCCTTCCAGCAGGGGATTGGCGAGGGTTAGCTGCAGCCGAGCGTCTCTGCCTGTAGAGGGGAGACGTCTCTGGATTCTTCTGCAGTGGGGCAACAAAAGGCGCTCGCCCGTAGCCATACTTCCCTGGAATGATGTGAGGAACCCTCCTGGAGGCACAAAGATCATCACCTTGTTTAAGGTAGCTCTTATCATTAAGCCTTAATGACGCGTTACTGCTGACTGACACCAAACTGGGTCACATTATGCTAAAAAAATTAAAATGTTTGCATTGGGTTCACTTAAATTAATTATGTCAACAGGTTCCTATCAACTGAATTGAGTAAATCTTGCTTTAGATTTACTCAGTTCACTTGAGTAGAACCTGCTGACATAATTTATTTAAGTTAATCCAACTCAAATTATATTTATTCAAAACAGACAGAATAAAAACTAAAACATCATCTGCTTCAGATCCTAATCATCCACAGGTTGTACAATAGCTGGGAGCTATTTTCAGTGTGCACTGCCAATGCAATATACACTATTGTGATTCGTTTCCCATCCAAGTCATCTCAACTTTGCCATGCTTCTCCTCCTGCATACTTTGTCCTAGAGCTGCCATTGTAATTTACAGTACATCTGTAAAGCTACTGTGCCAAATGATGGCTATGCCTTTTGGTGCCTATAAAACTTATAGTTTATGAAATATTAATGTTTAATGAATTATAATGGCAGTCAATGGAACCTTGTATTGGTCCAATACTGCCCCATGCTGTACTCAACTTGGTACTGCACCATGGTTTAATATTTCAACTCAGTAGTTCAGTGTTTACAGTACTAATATGATTGTATTTTGATGTTTTACTATAATATTGACTTAAAACTGCTCTATTGTTGTAATATTATGCATTTTTGTGTTAATAATTGTATTGGCAATGTGGCCTCTTTCTGCACACACACAAACCAACCCCTGCCACCATCTTCTGCCACAGCTCTATTGGTCTAATGGTCCATGTCATGGACTTTCATGTGGGAGACCAGGGTTCAAAACCCAGCTAATGCAACTTTAACAAAAAATCTCTTCAAATTTCATATTGTCACACAATTACCTTAATTACAAATACCTGCTGATGTGGCAGGCACAAGCTGGTATAGAAAACACATTTGAACTTGGTCAAAGTTCATTATGCAAGTCCAATGCTGCAATGACATGCTACATGGCAATGCACACTTGTTTTTACATCGTAAAAACCCATGTCTAGTTATTATTTGGATTACTGCACCAATTTCGAAAAAGGTGGAATGTTGTGGAAAATATAAATTTAAAAAAAATTGTGCTGAGTTGCAAATCTAATAAACCCAGATTTGATTCCCAATGATACACAGTAAACATATCAAATGTTAAAGCAAAGAAAATGTACCATGAAAAATAATAATAATGTAAATAACACATCTCAAAAAAGTTAGTACAGGGGCAACAAAAGGCTGAGCTGGCTTGTAGCAAATCAGAGTCATCAGCAGTGGGTCAGTAATGTCAGAAATGCTGGTTAAAGCTCTGTCATGCAAAGATGAAGCCATATGTGAACACCAATCAAAAATAATGACATCTTCTCTGGGACTAAACTCTGAAAGTGTCCTATAGTTGCACAAATCAATTTTAAAATTTATATATATATACATATGTATATATATTGCAAAGCATGAATACTACGTTTTCTATACTAACAAGGAGATTGATTATTCAGCTTGTTATCAACACAGAATTCAAAGGCCTGCCTCTCTGACGGCATGGGGGTGCATTAGTTTCTAAGGCATGGGCAGCTTCCACATCTGAAAACACCATCAGTTTACAGGTTTTACAATATATGCTCTCATCCAGAATATGCAGGACTGTTGAACAGCTAGAATCCTACATTAAACAAGAACAGGACAACGTTCTCTTCCATAACCTTTATCAAAAATTTATCAGTGTGCAAATTTAAGAGAATGAAAAAGACTGGACTGTTAAAAAATATGAAATGTTTTAATATGTAGTCGTTCACTTTGTTGTTCTAGAAATTTTCAATGTTTTGTTTCGTTAACTGAAGATCATTATAGTTTGAATCTATATTTGAGGAAAAAAGGGGCAGATATAAGAATTTTTTCTTCTCTCTGCCACCTTTCATTTCATTTTATTTGTATTTTCTTTTTTTATTGTACATTGAATTTTGTTTTATGAAACAAATAAAGTTTTAACTAAAAAAAAAAAAAAACCTCCAGCAAATGATCTCCTAGAGTCCTGAATGTTTACAAACTGCTTTGAAAAGAAGAGGGGATGCTTCAGAGCTAAACATGACCCTGTTCTCATTTCTTTGAGCCGTGTCATAATTCAAAATTACCTTTTTTTTTCCAAAAGGAATGGTACAAATTCTTATTTTAAATATTTGATATATTTATTATGTGCCATTTTGAATACATTTTGGATTGATAAAATTAGCAAATCATTCCTATCTGTTTTATTTACATTCCACACAGTGTCCCAATGCTGTTGTTTTTTTAATAGTTACAGTTTCTTCTTTTATTAAACATGTTTTAGTTACACTTGGACATTTAATTAGAAAACTTAAATTTGCTTTTGAGAAGCAACCATTTTGGTCACTTTTAGCAGAATTGTGGGAGCTTTTTGTTGTTTCCTCAGTATTGTGGAGTCCAACTCAAACAACCCTGTCACCACTCAGCTGTCAGTGTTATTTGTTTAAAGGCAAGCACAACAGGAAACAGGTCACAAAGCTGCCAAACACAAGCGGAGCTTTTGACTCCAACTATAAAAGAGCGATTTTCCACCGGAGGGCAGTCAGATGGCCCACAGTGATGGCTCCAAAGAGTCAGTGTTACAGCAGGCTGCTCAGCATGCAGCACGGATCAGCTCCACAAAGACACGGGCTGCTAAACCGAAAAAAAGTTAAGAAAAAAACTTTTTTTTTCTAGGATACTTTGTTTTAATGCTTAAATGCACCACTGAAGTTTGTTCAAAGAACTTAAGATATTTGTTTAGGCTCATTTGCTTGCAGGACGCTACAAATATGACAGAAACTAAACCAAAATAAGTAGTTGGCTCGTAAATAATCTTGAAAAAAAACTATAAAAGGATCAAACTAAATATTTTTAGTTTTGGATGTGTTCACTGGGTCATATTAAAGGTACTAATCACAATGTCATGAAATAATCATAAAGTAAGAAACAAAATTCAAATACTAATTTCCTCATGCTAATAGTAACATGTCCTGTAATAAATACATCTCTAAGCAAAATGTGCAAATGGTTGCCAACAACTGTATGTTTGTTAATCTATAGAAACAGCCAAGGTGACATAATCTAGATTAACAACAGCCACGTCTATGGAAAAGATGTTTGAGACAAAGAAATTAGATAATTTTAACGTATTTACTCTCAGATTTGTTTAGTAAAAGCTGCAGATAAAAGTGCTTTGTTTACACTGAGCGTGGACCCACATTTCTGAATTTCCTACCAGTATATCTTAAAACTGTTAACATATCAGAGTAAACTCTTTCAAACTGCACCATTTGGTATAGGTCAGGATCATCTTTTATAATTTAATTACATAGTTTGCAGCAAGTTATTGACATATTAAGGCTTTCTTCATGTACAACTTTGCCTGAAAGTGATTCTTTTGTTGATCAGCACTAATTACCTGTATGATGATGAGTGATTATTTTTAACATTGCTCTTGATCTAAATCCCTACAGGGGTAATAACCTTAACTTTGAAATTTTACATGATTTGATTTTGTAAAATACGTTTGTAAATTTTTTATATTCCAGTCAGCCTGCCCCAGGGCAGCTGTGGCTACATTGTAGTTTACCATCATCAGAGTGTGAATGGTAAGTGGACTATACTTATACAGTGCCTTTCTATCCAACCAGGATACTCAAAGTGCTTTACACTACAAGTGTCTTGCCCAAGGACACAACAGCTGGAACGGGGGATCAAACCTACCAGTTCCAAGATGACTCCCATAAACACTCTGCCACAGCCGCCCCGAAGTGTGTGAATGAATAACGTAAAGCAGGGCTATTCAACTGGAGGCCCGTGGGCCACATCCGGCCCGTGAGTGACCAAAGTTTGGCCCGCCAATTGGTTCATTCATCTCTTAAGCCCAAATCCCTGGTTTTCTACTTTAATTACTCCAAGTACTTTTAGTTAAACATAGACATGTTTGGTATCTACAGAAACGTCAGAATCTTGGCTAGAAGCTGGTAAAAACCATTTCTATAAACACTCAAGCCAGTTAAAATGACAAGCAGTTGAAGATAAAATGATGACAGTGAAAATAAAATTGGTTTAAAAATTTGGCAAGTCAGATATGTCAACATATTGTTGATGGACCTGAACTTTCTTTATCTTAATGATAAAAAGACAGAGGTCATTTTATTCGGCAACTCTGATAAACTGACAGGATGCAGTAGTGCTGTTGGACCACTGGACTCTTTGTCTGGCCGTGTGTCTGTTAGAAATCTTGGGGGTTTTTTGGATTCTGATTTTAAATTTAAAGAACAGGTCAGTGCAGTAGTCCA